GTTGTGATCACAGGAAACTGAGAGGTAGCAGGAGTCTGAAGAGGATGCATTAGTAATCCAGTAGCAGCATCAACCTAGGAAATGGGAGATGTTGAAGGAGATGGGGGAAGCTGTTCTTCTGCTTCCAGATCTTCCTTCTTGTCATGTGCTTCAATGCAAGGAAATATTGTGGGTATTGCATTCTCTTTCAGTATCTTGTTGCACTCCCTCTTGAAGCAATCTGGAGGAAAGTGTTCTGAACAAATACAGCTATACTTGGGTTTAAAGATTTTTCCCGACAGCTGCCTCCCATTTTTTACAAAGATTGGGTCAAGAAAGAGGAAACTTGTGGAAAGAAATGGGCTTATCCTTATACTCCAGTTTCTCTTCAGATCGTATTACTCTTTCACCTTATCCGATGGGATCTTGCAGCAGGAGACCAAAGAGGGCTGCACCACCCTTCCGGTCCTCAGGTGTTTTACCTCTGTTGCCCCAGCAGGCAGGTGAAGCTGTTAACGATGTTGCTACTCTTGATGTCACTACTCCCGGCTTTGACAACCCCAAAGCTCCTTCAGTAGGTTTGGCCAACAATTACAGTGATGATAGCCTTCCCATGGGGTGGCTGATGTGCCCATTTTATGTTTTCATTTGGCAGAAGGACCACAACCATTCCCCATCTCCCATCTCCAAGATGGCGGAGGAAACCACAAGAAGTCTAACTTCTGTCACCACTGGAGGAGAAGGGACTAGACAAAGAACATGTATAAATGACCCATAGACATGGACAACAGAGTGGGAATTGACTGTGGGAGTAGGGGGTGGGGTGGGAAGAATAAATATTGAACAAGGTGTGGGGAATTTTTCTTCTTTTGATGAGACTTTTAAGATCTATCTTAGCAACTTTCAAATATGCAATACAGCCCTTGGTGTGGCTCGGTTGGTGGGAGTGTGGTCCCATACACCCTAAGTTGGGGGTTCAAATTCCGGTCAGGGCACATACCTAGGTTGTAGTTTCTATCCTTAGTTGGGGCACATATGAGTGGCAACTAATCTATGTTTCTCTCTCACATTGATGTTTCTCTCTCTCCCTTCCTTTCTCTCAAATCAATAAACATTAAAATTTTTTTAATGTGCAATACCACATTATAAACTATAGTCACCACTCTGTGCATCATATCCCCATGACTTACTTTGTAATGGGTAGTTTCCACCTTTTGACTCCATGAATGTGAGGTGTCTTTTCATTTATGTCTTTAGTTCTTTACACAGTGTTTTATAGTTTTCAGTGTATAAGTATTTTTCAGTTAATTCCTAAGTATTCTATTCTACTTGAATTGTTTTCTTAGTTTTCTTTTGTATATTTCTTTGTTAGTACATAGAAACACAATTAGTTTTGCCTGTTGATAGTTGTATCCTGAAATTCATTTATTATTTCTAACAGTTTGTGTAATCTTAAGGGTTTTCATGTCACTTATAAACAGATAATTTTACTTCTTTGTTTCTAATTTGGATACCATTTATATCTTTTTGCTGCTTAATTGCTTGGCTAGAACTTCCAATGCTGTGTTGAACAGAAGTGATGAAGGCATCTTTGTTTTATTCAAGAACTTGGAAGGTTTCAGTCTTTCCCCCATTGACTTATGTTATGGTAGTTTCCTTCCATACCTAGTTTGTTGAGGGTATTGAATTTTGTGAAGCGCTTTTTCTGCATAGATTGAGATGATCATGTGTTTTTTTTCCCTCCATTCTGTTAAGGTGGTGTATCACCTGAATTATTTTATGTTGAATCATCTTTGCATTCTGAGATTAAATCCCAGCCGGTTATGGTGTATAATTCTGTCCTGCCAGATATGATTTTCCAGTTTTGTTGATGGTTTTGCATCAGTGTTGATAAGGGATATTGGTCTATAGTTTTCTTGCAGCATCTGTATGACTTAGTAGTAGGGCAATGCTGGTTTCATAGAATGAGTTAGGAAGTATTCCCTTTCCTCAATTTTATGGGAGAGTTTGAGGAGGGTGGTGTTAATTCCTCTTTAAATGTTTGGTAAAATTCTCCATTGAAGCCATTTGGTCCAGGACATTTTTCTGGGCAATATAAATGATAAGAAAGGAAGGGGACTTACAGTCAAGGTGGCAGTATAGGCAGCCACAGTCGCCTCTTTGCACAACCACATCAAAATCACAACTAAAATGTAGAACAGCCATCACTCAGAACCATCAGAAATCGAATTGAATGGGAGTGTGACAACTACAAAATTAAAGAAACCACATCCACTTAGACTGCTAAGAGGGGTACAGATGCAGAACAGGCTGATCCCACATCCACATACGGTAGATAAAAATTTGGGAAGGATATTTCAGGAGCAAGGAGTCCCAGCCCCATATGAAGCCTCCCAGCCCAGGGTTCCAGTGCCAGGAAGATAAGTCCCCTCAACTTCTGTCTGCAAAAACCAGTGATTGAGTCAGGGAAAGAAACTTTTGGAGCCCCAAGCAATTCCTCTTAACCCACACAAGGACTCATCTGCTCAGATTCTCTCCCTCTGAGCTCCAGCACCAGGGTAGCAGCTTGAAAGGCACCACTGGTATACAGGGAGGAACGGAAGTGTCTGACATCAAAGTGAGCAAAGGCCATTCTCCCTATTCTAAACCCTCCCCCGACAGAGCTGGCAAGTTGGTGCCATATCTGAAACTCCAACAACCTGGCTAAGACTGGTTGACTCACCTTGGAGATCCCCATAGACTTCACCCGACCCAACTTACGGGCCTACCCAAGCTGCTTTTCCATATGAATGGCTGATTGTGGCTCATGCTTCACATATTCCTAAATCGTCTTAAACAAGCAGCAGTTGGCCACAGTGACCCCAAGGCCTGGCACTAGTAGCAGCCAGCCTAGATTCACAGCTTGGCTTCACTTGGGAATCTCTAAGCCCCACACAAATAGCAGCCATCTCAGATTGTTTTATAGCTCAGGAAGGGTGGCCCCAGGCAAAACACAGGTTGGGGCTGACCTTGGCCTGTAACACCTGGGAAACCCCAGTGCCAGCGTACCCAATGGACAGCTACAGACCGCTTCAGAGCACCACCACACTGTCCCTGCACAGGGACATGAAGGGCAGAGGTTAGTGGTAAGTGGTCACAGCCAGTCCTTGCAGCTGACTGGCCTGAGTAAATCCCTCCCATTGATCTGCCAACAGCAACCAAGCCTCAACCACAAGAGCAGAGTGTACTCAGCCAACACAAAGGGCACACCTTGAGTATCCTACTTGGGTGATAGGGGAGGCTGTGCCACTGAACCCTACAGGACACCTGCTACATGAAACCACACTACCAAGACACAGAGTTAAAGCAGCTCTACCTAATACATAGGAACAAACACAGGGAGGCTGCCGAAATGAGGAGACAAAGAAGCATGGCCCAAATGAAAGAACAGATCAGACTCCAGAAAAAGAGCTAAATGAAATGGAGATAAGCAATCTATCAGATGCAGAGTTCAAAACACTGATTATAAGGATGCTCAAGGAATTTAGTGAGGACCTCAGCAGCATTAAAAAGATTCAGTCATAAATGAAGGATGCTCTGATTGAAATAAAGAACAATTTACAGGAAAACAACATTTGAGTGAATGAAGCCAAGAGTCAAATCAACAATATGGAACATAAGGCAGCAAAAAACAACCAATCAGAACAAGAAGAAAAAATCCAAAAAAAATGAGAATAGTATAAGCAGCCTCTGGGACAATTTCAAGCATTCCAATATTCGCATCATAGGGGTGCCAGAAGAGGAAAAGAACAAGAAATTGGAAATTTATTTGAAAAAATAATGAAAGAAATCTTCCCTAATTTGGTGAAGGAAATAGACATGCAAATCCAGGAAGCACAGAGAGTCCCAAACAAGATAAATACGAAGAGGCCCACTCCAAGACACTTCATAATTAAAATGCCAAAGGTTAAAGATAGAATATCTTAAAAGCAGCAAGAGAAAAGAGATTACCTACAGGGAAGTTCTCATAAGACTGCCAGCTGATTTCTCAAAAGAAACTTTGCGGGCTAGAAGGGATTGGCAAGAAATATTCAAAGTCATGAAAAGTAGTGACGTACAGCCAAGATTGCTCTAGCCAGCAAAGATATATTTAGAATCTAAGGGCAGATAAAGAGCTTTCCAGACAAGAAAAAACTAAAGTTCATCACCAAACTATTACTACATGAAATGTTAAGGGACTTATTTAAGAAAAAAAATCAAAATTACGAACAATAAGATGGCAAAAAATATAAATCTATTAACAATTGAATAAAAGAAAAACAACTAAGCAAACAACAGGGACAGAATCATCAATATGGAGAGTGTTTTGATGGCTGCCAGATGTGAAGGGGGCTTGGGAGTATGGGTGAAGAGGTGAGGGGATAAAGAAGTACGTATAGATAGTCGCAGAATAGCCATGGGGATGTCAAGTACAGTATACGAAATGGAGTAGCCAAAGAACTTACCCACATGACCCATGGACATGAACAAAGTGTGGGGATGGCCTGAGGAAGTGGGGGCTCCTGGGTGGAGGTTGGGAAAAGGGGGGAAAATCAGGACAACTGTAATAGCATCATCAAGAACATATAATAATAAAAAAAGGGTTTGAGGCCTGGCCTCAACAGTTACTAAATTTAAAAAAAAAATTGGTAACTTTGTTTCTGGAAATAGGGTATGGCGTGTGTTTTTTCTGTGACAATGAATTCTCTCCTGGGTCAAATGAGAAGGTTATACAAGATGGCCTTTAATTTTCTTTTAGTTCAAAAGTTCCATGGTTCTGGAATAGATTTTTTAAAACTTACTGAAAAATTAATAGCAGATGAAATGTGATAGTTTTAATCAATATCCAGAAATATCTTACAACTTTATATCTTCAAACATGAGTGTCTACAAGTGTTTACTACTCTAGATTTATTGAAGAATAAATATTTCTCTACTTTTTCTGCATTTTTATTTTCTTTTACCTCTTATGAAGCACCCACTCTTTTGTTTTTGGTAAATAGGCTGCGTCTAAGAATCAGACTTCACTGTTGGGAGAACCTCCAAAAGAAATTCGGCTCAGTAAAAATCCGTACTTGAACTTGGCAAGTGTGTTGCCCAGTGTGTGTTTATCATGTAAGTGAGAACTCAGCATTAATATTTTAGAGTTTACTGAATACTTTCCCTAATGAGTTTTACTTCAGTTGTTTACATAATAGAAGCAAATCATTCCTATTGACCAGTTAAAGCTTAAATTATCACCCCAGTCTTTAAATAGAAAGAACAATTAAAATTAACACTTAAAATACATCCTACTTTAAGGAAGACATCTTTTATAATACTTTATTAAGAATATGATCAACTTACTGAATTGTTACTGAATCATGATTTTAAATGGGTAAAACATAATTGGCAATACTATAATTATTTACAATACATATAAAATATTTCTAAAAGAAGTTGAAATGTCTAAGTAATGTATCTGGAGTGTTAGTAGAATACACCAAAAATATATGAGCTGCTGATTGACGGAAGTGGAATTCTCTTTAACTTTTTTGGTGTATATTCTCAGGCCTTCAGTTAGTATAAATTAACAGTTTTAAGAGAAATTCGTAAATGTGGTGTGCTCAGTACACGGGGATATTCACTAGAACATTGGCTGTCCATAGTGAAAAACTAGAACGTGCCTTCAGAATCATCAGTGGAGGAATGGCTGAATAAAAAGTTCACCACAAAACGGAATACTGTGCAACCATTTTTATAATTGAGAGCTACATGCACTAATGTGAAATGATCTCTAAAACAAATTAAGTGGAAAAAGCAAGTGTATGTATAAAATGATTTTATTTGTTTAAAGCTATCCTTAATATGTACATAGTTGAGTGTGTAAATGCATAAAGTAAATGTGGGAAATAAATTCTAAACTGTCACCTCTGGGAAAAAGAATAGGATTGAATGAAAAGAGATGAAAAATGAATTTTATTTTTAATGTGCATTCTCTGTTTTATGAAGTATCCTCTTGAATCTACACATTAATTTCTAATGTTTTAAAAGCCTGAAAAAAAAGAATTTCATGTGCTTTTAGTGTACCTACTATATTTTTATCTGGTCTAAAAGTTGATAATTACTTTTTATGCCTTGTTTTGGAGATTAGACATATATCTTAAAAATGTTTCCACCAAAATTATTTACCCATAGGGAAAATTCTCATTTTCAGTTGCTTTAAATGAATAAGATAATATTATATACTATATATTTTTCCCCTGGGGTTACTATAGATATATCTATTGGCAAACTAAAATTTGTGTTCTATTTGAAAATGTGCTAAATTAATGAGTTTTGTACTCTGCTTATAATTTATAATAAAGCAACCGAACTAAAATACATGTTTTGATTTTGCCTTTAGCCCCTGCAAGTAAAACCACTCTACAGAAGACTGGAATTGCAAGCAACATCCTGGACGCAATCTCTCAGGGAAATGAATCACAACACACATTGGAGAAGTGCATTGCTTATTCTCAGCCTTTTGGTGATTATGCACAGGTAAATGAGTCTCAGATTTTGATGATATATAGAAAGACTGGTTCAACTATATATTGAGTTCACTACATATGAAATTGTAATTCCTGTAATATCATAGGCCATTAAAATTGCATTGATCTACACAATATTTCTTACACACCATTTAGAATTTTAGGACGCATTTCAGGAGGATTGGTAAGTATCATTTTAACAGTATTTACCTGTCATTGTTTACACTAGTGGTTGGCAAACTGCAGACCAAATCCAACACCCCCACCTGTTCAGTTAATAAAATTGCATTGGAATATGGCCGAGTTCATTCGTTTCCATTTTGTCTGTGGTGCTGTTACTCTACAGCAGCCGAATTGAGTGGTTGCAGTATAGATTATACGGCTGCAAGATTAAATATTTACAATCCAGCTCTACAGAAAGACTCTTCTGACCTCTGATTTATACCATGTTGACATGACCAAGAAAGCCAAGGAAATGTGTGTTCTTCCACTGCTTATTTGTGTAGAAGAAACATGATGATAATTACAGACACTATTATACTGACTTTTAAACTGGTCAGTAACGTGAAAAGTTATATTCATAAGATATACTGTGTCATTACTGACTTATGTCAGTTTTGCTTTGCTTTTTCTCCTTCAGCTTATTCTTAGTGGCTTAGGCCGAGAGTACCTGTCACGTTAGCAGTATACAATGATGTAATCGTGAGTCTTGATTAACAATTCCAATTCTTATCCCCCAGAGTCGTCAGCGGCTTCTCATCTCTGTCCCTCCTGCCTCTTTGCAGAGCTTCCACTTTGATTTCCTCAGAGCAACTCTGTGTTTGTCTCGCCTGTCTCTAAGGAACTTAGAGAAGAAAACCAATGAGAATTCATTTAGAACAATTGATGCCCGAGTACACTTTTTCTGATAGAGTACTAGAAACACAGGTCAAATGGAGTGTAGAAATGGTGTGGCTGGATATTAGCAAAATATATAATAGAGTCTCTTATATCCTTGTGGAAAAGGTGAAGAAATCTAGGTTGGAAGATGATGTAATTAGGTCACAACATGCCTGTATTTAAGGAATAATAATCATGAATTGATGTAATCTAAAAGGCATTCTCTAACATGTTTCATAAAACTCCATCGTTGTCACCGTATTAGTTAATATTTTAAGTAATAACTTAGATAAGGACATTGATTGTGTACTGATTATATTTCCAGGTGCCAAAGCGGAGGAAATCATCAGACATGAATAAAATCATTTATGACTAGTTTATAGTTATGAAAATTAGAAACCTAAATTTCCAACAATTTATAAGGCTGAGTAAACAAATTGTCCTATTTATATCAGGAAATGCAATACAAATATTAAAAATCATATAAAACAATATGTGAACGCATGGTAAAATGTTTATAACCTATTGTTAATTTTAATAATTTATGAAATATAGTGATACACAATTTTGATGTTTTTGTTTCTTTACAAGGAACACTATTTTTATTAACAGGAGGAAGCACAATAATCATTTTAAAGTTTAGTCAAATGCATGATTTAAGTTTTAAAAGTTATTTTTTGTACTTTTATTTCACTTTTGAAATTCGTTCTGCTTTTCTCATTAGCGTTATGTTTATTAGATTATTAGATCTATGCCCCCAACCAAATAGTCAGGTATGGTGTGTTTTAAAAATTCTTGCAGCACACCAGTTGAAAACTGCTGGCGTAAAGAAAAACATAAGAATGATTTCAGCTGTTTCATATGATGTTTAAAGTGTGTGTGTGTGTTTGTGTGTGTGTGTGTGTGTGTGTGTGTGTGTGTGTGTGTTTCATTTAATACTAGCCACACTGAGTGGTCGCCGTCTGGTGAGCTGTACATTAGGAAAATACTATTTACCTCTGTGTTGTAATCTTGCATTGCTCTTGGTCAACAAAGCATCTTTCCTGCCAGGAAGCTGGTTGCCTTTTCTAGTGAATCAACCACAGAAATGTGTGATGAGATAATGTGATGAGGGAAGAAGAGGAAACAATAGCGAAACAACAAAATGAAAAACGCCTGCCTGAAGCTTAGTCTTTTCATATAGGGCCTAATGCTGCCATCTAGTGGGAAAAGAATGCAGTGAGCCTCGCCAAAAGATTTTTGTGTGAACTGTGCTACATCCCAAACTTGTGACACACACTAACTATATAAAATATTTTTAAAAACCTAAACCCACTCTGAACAATAATTATGGAACAACAGATTATTTTTATATTAATCCTAGACAATCAGTTGGAAAGCACTTTTAAAAAATGATTTTTCCTAAAAGTTTTAATTAAGGAAAGCAAACTTTTGAAATTTATTTTAATTTACCCTCATTACTTTAAAAGTCTTTTGCTTATATACCAGGCTTTTAAAAGTTCCAAAAAGTTATTAAAAAATAATATGCAGTATAAATATGAAGACAGTTTTTCTACCCTGACATGTTTTCGAAGAATTTTAATGTGTTTGAGTTTTAAAAAGTGTTTATGAAACATACTTAAATACAAGATATGTGATTTGTATAACTTGGTATACTGAAACTAGTGAGGTGATGATCAAATTTCACTTTTTTTGAATGTCATATAATACTTTTAGAGCAACAATTTCCAACCTTTTTCATGTCAAGGCACACATAAAGTAGTGACTAAAATTCTGCAGCACACCAAAAAATATATTCTTGCCTATCTAACAAAAAATATAGGTATAATTTTGATTCATTCACAGTGGACACCTGTTGTCTTGGCTGTTGTCATTGTTTAAATTAACAATCTAAGGGGAAAGAGGTCAGAGCCCCTGACTAGTCAGGTATTGCGTGTTTTAAAAATTCTCGTGGAACACCAGCTGAAAAGTGCTGTTTTAGAGGATCAGTTATTAAATTCAAAGTTAAGACTTAATATTTACTCATATGAAGAAAGGCAGGTGTCTGAGAAGCAAAATTTAATACGAAAATTGAAAACATGTATATATGAGAAAGAAAATTTTTGTTATTAATATCACAAAATGAAGCATGTTCGTTTAAAAACCTTTTTTGACAATGGGAAAATATTTAAATACAATTTTAGAAATGAACTATGCTTAATAATGCAGAAAAGTTAATCAAGTTAATTCTTGTTTCTGTTGGTATGAAATCTAAAAGCTGAACTTGAAACTATAAGGAAAAGATATTTAAAGGTCTGACTGAGATTCTAGAAGAACTGGCACAGTAGCTCTTTTTAGGTTTGCCATCAACTCCAACTCCACTAAAGAGACAAAACTTAGAAAAGATTAGATTGAGGAGCCCCCAACAGAGGCAGACTTTTCTGCAAACTAATTTGGTTTTGTGTTTAGATGGCTACACACTAACTGGTTATATTCCTTTCAGAAGAGCATTAATGATAAAGAAATAAATACCTTTAATTTGGACTGGTGGTGGATAAGCCTCATCAAATTCACTATCGATATTAACATATTCCACAGGAATCTCCCTGAGGGACATCCAAAATTCCTTTTTCTTGAATTCTTATGAGAGCTTTTAAAACTAAGCTTCACTTCCATCCCAGAAGTGAGCTTAAAAACTGAGTTTAAGATGCAGAGTAAGTACATATTAAACTTTGGCAGTCAAAAAATGAAATCGTGACTTTGTTCTTCTATATTCCCATGGAAATAAAAGTCTGCATTTACATGAAGATAAAGATAGTTGCTTTAATAAAAGAAAATATGATTTTTTTAAAATCAAAAATAAAATAGCAACTGAATACAGAGTGGATTTTATAGTGAAGGTGTGCAAAAGATTAGATTTTAAAAAATAGGTGAGACTATGAAAAGAACACTAAACTGAGAGACACTGGATTGGATTCACAGGTCTCACTGAATGTCCTTTTGATTTTAGCCAAGTCACATAAGTTTTCTCATTTTTTCAATGGAGATAATAATTCCTTCTCTTACTGCACATGGCTGATGTCAATGATGCACTATAGGATTTCATCATAATTACATTTTATCAGTTGGTGTATCTCCACATGTACTACATACGGTTCAGCTATTTGGTTGATCTGATTTCCACCTGAAAATTATATAGGCAGAATTAGAGTATTATAGCTCCTCTCAATGTCTTTCTTTTCCTCACTCTCTAAAGCATGAATGCCCATTGAAATAGGTTTTTCGCTCAGAATTTCAAAGTATACCACGTTGTTCTTCCTCATCCAGGTATTCCATGTAAAATTTTAACTAAAATTTAAAATCACACTTCGTGCGTGTGTGCCTTCCCGCACACATGCACTAACAGCATGGGAGGGGCCCGTCGCCGCCTGGAGGGGCCACCTCGTCATGCCTGTTTCCTCCATTGCCACATTTTTTATGGAGCCATTTATTAGTCTTCCCAAATGCCAAGTCTAAACACACCGGTTCCCGTTTAAGTTCCTACGCCAGACATTCCAGCCTCTCCATGATGGAGGCCAGCTCGCCTTTCCGATACCATTGCTATTACGCTCGTCCACGGACCAGCTGCTGTGTTTCCTGCCAGCTGCCTTTGCTCAGCTGTTTCCTTCCTCCTACAAGGGTCATGCGCAGCCCGCTCATGTCCATATCTGACCTCACCTCCAAATACTAACTCGCCATGACAACTTTGTCCATACCTTTCAAACCCTCCTCTTCCATTTTCCCTTCTCTGAAAAAGCTTCAGCACTTCACCTCCATTTCTCATTTGGCATGGTGGCACCCTCCCGTTAGAATCATGGGTTGTGCTTTTCTTACTTCCCCTCCTAGGATACGCGCCCTTGCAGGGCACTCTTCAGCCTCTCTACCCCTAGGTAGCCGCAGAGCGCATGGCCCAGGGCTGTGGGCTGTCTGTGAGAGAACACACGTCTGTCTTCTGCTAGTATGGAACAGAAGGAAAAGTATATGCTTGCTTTATAAATCTTTCCCTCTTCTGTGGTTTTATTTTCTTTTTGTTGTTCCTTTGATACAGATTTATTTCTTCCAGAACACTGAACTTTGTTTCAAAAGTCTTTTTTTAATTTAATTTTATTAGAG